GATCCTCCTGCCTCAGCCTCAAGAGCTGCTGGGATTACAGGCGTGTGCCACCGCGCCCAGTTTATTTTTATTTTATTTTATTTATTTATTTTTTTTAATTGGGGACTGAACCCAGGGGCACTTAAAACACTGTGCCACATCCTCAGTCCTATTTMTTTTTGGAGACAGTGTCTTACTGGGACTGTGGTTGTGGCTCAGAGGTAGAGCACTTAGCTGGTATGTGAGACAGGGTCTTACTAAGTTGCTCAGGGCCTCACTAAGTTGCTGAGGCTGCTTTGAACTTTTGATCCTCCTGCCTCAGCCTCCTGAGCCACTGGGATGACAGCATGCACCTCTGTCCCCAGCCTACAGTGGTAATTTTAAAGGCAGCTGAGATCCTAGGATTCCTGATGGTGTCTACAGTAGACCCCCTGCCAGCCGCACAGTCCTGTGCCCCTCCAGCCTGTGACCTCCTTGAGGGGATGGGCCAGCTGCTCTCTGACTCCTCACAGGTCCGCCGCCTCTGTCCCCCAGGCCTGGGGGCTAACCATTTCACCTGTGGGGTCTGGGGCTTGCCTCAGTGCTCAGAGGCTTTGGAGACCGGCTCCTGTGTGTCAGCAGGCCCCCACTTGAGTCGGAGTGCTGCTTCCTGGTGCGGAGTGGCTCTTTTATAAAAAAGGAAGGCCTTTCCCTCCAACCCCATGCTGCTGTGTGTCAGGGTCCTCTGGGCCACTGACCTGGTTCTGGGTGGCTTTTGGTACTTAGGACATAGCAGAGTGTGATTTGAGGTGACATCAAGTTATATTTATGCTGACCCCAGGGTTTTATGGGTGTGATAGCTGATTTGAGGATTCTGATCCTAATCGTGTTTTTCAATATCAGTTCTGCTCCATCTAACAGCTAATAAAATTAGATCACAAAATGTTCCCCRTACAAGACGGGAACATTAAATAATGTTAGTAAAGCGTCATAAAGTCATATTCAGTCATGACGGCCACCTAAACCGCGTGGCAGCCGGGTCCTCTCCCGAGGGCCTGGAGGAGCGAGGGAGGGCACGGTGCAGACTGTGGTTTTCCTCTCTTAGGTAAACGCGTCCCCGTCCCTCACCTCYAGCACTGCCAACGACCGGATCCTCAAGTACAACCTCATTAACGACACCCTCAACATTGCCGTCCCCAACGGCGAAATCCCAGACTGCAAATGGAACAARTCCCCTCCAAAGGAAGTTCTTGGGAATTACGAAATTCTGTAAGTCGCGTGTGACCCTGCAGTTGTCCCCTGAGGCGTGCCAAGGCCCCGCACGGTGTCGGAGGCAGAGGGTCTCATTCCTGATGCCGCGGCAGGGCTCACAGCGGAGCAGGAAAGCCAGGCCGTTGGTTCTGCTCAGGCCCTGGGGGTCTGGGACAGCTGGGAGCCCCCTCAGGGCATGTGACGCCGAGGAGCTCCTGTCCGTGGGCACCTCATAAACTGGAGCGAGAGCCTTTCCTGCGGCTGGAGGGAGCTGCCTCTCGTGGCCGACCTCCGAGGGCTCGCYGCGTGCTCCACACGCTCCTTCCCGCACCCTTCCAGCCCCTGAGGAGGGGAGTCCCACTGAAAARCCGGACCCGGCACTGCACGGAGGTGGCTGAGGATGGATGCAGAGTCTAGAAGCACAGCACAAGTTTGGGGAGGGGTCAGACTGGGCCCTGGCCAGGGCCGCTTTGGATTGGCAGCGTGGGAACCAAGGGTGGTGTGAGGTGACAGATGTCAGCTGCAGGGCCCCCCCACGGGCTCAGATCTGTGGCTCTGCAGTGGGGCTGTAGGGTGGGGACAGTGTGAGGGAGGTCTGCCGGGAGCACCAGGGCCTAGGGGTCCCCCTTCAGTCCTGCTCAGGGTGGCAGGGAGGCTGTTGGGTTGGGAACACATGGGTGGGCTCTGTGCCCCTCCAGCCTGGGACCTCCTCGAGGGGATGGGCCAGCTGTTCCATGTCCAGGCCGAGGAGCAGAGGTAAGGCCCCTGCCTTTAGTTGTAGAGAAGAAGAAGGTCACCGTCTGAGCCACCCTCTTCCCCCGGCCGTGAGGTGGCACAGGCTCCCGTGGAGGCAGTCCTAGCTCCTGCCCGGGACCTGCAGGTGTCCGTTATGGCCCGGCTGCTGAAGGGCTCTGTGGCAAGAGGGGTTTCTGTCCTCAAGCCCGCCCTTCCCCGCGCCAGGCCCTGAGCTGCGTGTTGCCAGTGCTCACCTTCAGTGTGAAGAGCGGAGGCTRGCAGCATAGGTCCACCTGCCAGGGTCACACTGGGGCTGCCCAGAAACAGGTGTTCTTGCTGCCCCCAGATTGTCCTCTGGCCTGGCACCACAACGCCAGCCTTGTGCATCTGCCCCCCAGTCTGTCTGAGCCGCCAGCTCTGGTTCCACAGCCTTTAAAAACACCCCTCGCACCAAAAAAAAAAAAAAAATACTATTTAGAACCCAGACAGTAGCCAGGTGCGGCGGCGCACACCTGAAATCCCCGTGACTCGTGACAGGGAAGGCTGAGGTAGGGAGATCGCAAGTTCAAGGCCAGCCTCAGCAATCGAGCAGACCCTGCCTCAACCAAAACATAACAAGTAGTTCAGGGGCAGAGTGYGGGATCCTGGACTCCATCCTGTACCGCAGAACAAACAAACAAACAACAATGGTAACTGTTCCGTCAAAACCCAGAAGAGAGGCTTTTGAATAGGAAGGGCCATAGACACCGCCTGGCTCTGTCTGGGTTCTGTTTGCTCCCCAGGTGCCACAGCACTGGGAGGACAGCGCCTGGTCCCAGCAGCTCGCCAGCCAGGTGCTCAGTTGCTGTGGTTTTCAGGCCGCGTGGCACAGGCTTCCATCCTCATGGGCTGAGTGTGGCCCTGTCCCCTCCCTCAGCAGTTCTGCCCACCCCCCTTGCCAGGTGCTAGGGGGGCCAGGAGACACAGGAAGCGTCACCGCAGCCCTCAGTCAGTGATGCAGACGCCCAGCAAGCCATAGGGTGGTAGCCTGTGGATGGGGTGTCTGGGGCCGTAGCAGTCTCCAGGGACAGGGGCGCTGGCCCTGTGCAGAGGGGCTCCCTTACCAGGCTGGGAGGAGAGGAGCACCGGGTGGGGTGTCCTGCTGTCCCTCCCCAGGGCAGAGTGGGCCCTGTGGAGTCTGCCATGCGGGGAGCAGGGGTGCCTGGGCCTCTCCCTCCCTGCACATCCGCCCCATCTGCCACCAGGAGCACAGCACAGGCGTCCTTCCAACCAAGGGTTTCTGASACAGACCCCCTGCACCCGTGGATTCTGGTTCTGGGAATGACCCTGAGGCAGAAGCACACCCTTGGCCAGGAGCCCGCAGAATGCAGCCTGCAGCAGGCCGGCCGCCTTGGCCCTTTTTGGGTGGTGCAGAGTCCGCAGATGACTGAGGGTCCATGGGCAGGATGCATTTAACCGCGAGTGGAGGCAGGAGGAAGCTCTGCGTTAGGGATACAGAGTCCTGGGTGTCACCCCAGCTCTGCCACGGCCTGGGTCTGAGCTAGAGGATGGTGGGCAGTCATGGGAGGGGTGGGCAGCATCTCTCCACCTGAGGGACCTTGGAGGGCCCCACTGCAGCAGAAGGGCAGGGACTTGCTCTGATGCCATTTGGCTGGCACAGGGCACCCAGGCTCCGTCCAGCTCCTACAGATGCCAGACACTTTTCCGCCCCACTCACTCCGCTCGCTCTGGCACCGCCCGTGCTGGTGAGCATTGGAAACCAGGCGGCGAGGACCTGGAGGGGCATCATAGGTCCCGTGGGAGGTGTGCGCCTGATCTGGTCCCCTCCTGTCAGCCTCTGGCCCCTACCAGGGGTGCTGGGCAGAGGGTTTGGAGACGCGGGGCCTCCCGTCACTGCCCGGGGCTAACCTTGGTGTCTCATTTGTGTTCATTGGCAGCATCTGTCTGGGAACCTGTTAAAATGTCCACTGCAGGGTGGGACAGGGCCCTGTCCTCAGTAGCAGTTGAACCGCATGGTCCTGGAGGCTGTGGGCCGCTAAAGCTGCCTGTGGGCAGAGGGGCTGGAGCTGGGCGGGGTGGGACTGGGGCCAGGGGTCAGGCCTGCTRCTTCCGGTGACATGTGCAGAGCCCCGGTGATCCTGGAGATGGTCTGTTTCCAGGTACGACGAGGAGCTGGCCCAGGGCGACGGGGCCGACCGGGAGCTCAGAAGTCGACCGGGGCAGCCCCTGGGGCCCAGGGCAGGCCGCACCAGAGACTCAGGACGATCCGTCCTCTCCACCTGGAAGTGACCACCAGCAAGAAGGAAGCCCTGCTGGGCCTTGTCAAGACGACCCCTTCCCAGACCCCACTGAAGGCCTAAGACCTATTTTGGAATTTCCTCTTTTCTAGATCCTCTTTCCTGAGCCCTGTAAATAATAAAGCACTTATTTGGAAGGTCAAGGTGTCTGTTTCATGAGGGCAAAAGAACTGGCATGAACATGTGGAACCAGCCCCTTTGACAAACAGAGCGCAGCCGGGGCGGGTTATGACGGTTATGAGGCAGGTGACGTTGCAGCCCTATCCAGAGACTCCAGAGGCCGAGGCAGGAGGCCTGCAGGCTCGAGGCCTGCCTCAGCAACTCAGGTAGCCATACCTGTCTCATGAAACAGAAAGGCCTGGGGGTGTCGCTCAGGGTAGAGAGCACCTGGCTCAATCCTCAGTACAGAACCCCACTACGGACGAGTTGGAAGGCCGCCCTTATCACTTCCCCCAGTGGCGCTGCGCCCAGGGAGCCCCGGGTCCGGCCACACGGCAGCTTCAGCTTCGTTCCTTTCACCTTTGGAGGCGACGGTCATTTGTCGAGGCCTTGGTCAGGGTGCTCTCAGGAGAGACCTGTTTCTGTCACCCCAGGTTTGGAGGCAAGCACAGACCATTCCCGCTAATGGCTTCTGTGGCGCCAGCATCTGGGTCCCTGAGCACTGTTGGCAGCCATCAGCGGGGACGGGCCACGTGACGTCCATGGAGCCTCCCCCGACTCCAGGGTCTGAAGGAGAAACGGGGAAGGACCTGAGCCCACCTGGGAGACTGACGGACGGGGTGGGAGGAGTTCTTGGTAAGAGCCCTTTTCCGAGGGTCCCACCCAACCCATCCTGAAGGCTCCGCCTCCCTCTGTTCCAGGTCAGGGCGGGGCTTGGGGTTGGTCCTCAGGGCATCGTGCTAAGTCCTGGGTCCCTGGGTCGGGCTGACTGAGAGCCCCCAGGCCACCCCGGACAGCACAGACGTCCTTCCACCTGTGAGTGCCACCTCACGGGCACGTGGTTCTAATGACGTTTCCCTGCCAACTGAGGGGAAGGTCCTTGTGAGCCCAGAGGGTGYGCTGCGGGGAGCACCCAGTCACCCGATGGCATTCAGCCACAATCAGGCTGCCGCTGGGGACCTGTCTGCCCCTTGGCCTCCCTTTCGCGCGTGCCAGCACCTCAGTGGGACGCTCCTTGCTGCTGTCGCAGCTGAGGGTTGATCCTTTGGTCAGGCTTGGGCTTGAGGCCTGGTTCTGTGTTTATTACCGTGTCCTACACTGTCCCAGCGACTCTTGGGACCTTTATCTCCTGGTTTGTGAAAGGGGGTTAAGCTGGGAGTGGTGGCGCAGGCCTGTAATCCCAGAGGCTGGGGAGGCTGAGCCAGGAGGATTGCAAGTTTGAGGCCAGTTTGARCAACTGAGTGAGTCCCTGTCTCAACAAAATAAAAATGGCTGGGGACGTGACCCAGTGGTGGAAGCACCCGTGGATTCGATCCCTAGCACCAAAAGAGGGGAGTTCATTGTTTTGCCTCAGAAATGCAGTGTGGGCCGAGCCGCGGTTAACCTGCCGATGACGAGGATGGCACTGGGCTAGGAGAGAGTGCTAGTTGCTGATGGCTGTTGCTGGGTGAGAGGTGCGGCTGGGGTTTGCGTCAGACATTGGCTGTCCCCTGAGTGACCAGGGTCCGGGGCAGATGTTTCCTCTGCACAATGCCGAGCACACAGCTGGGGARCGTGCGGTGTCATTGGCCTCAGGAGCGTGTGAGCTGGGGTCAGTGCTGCTTGTCACCCGGCCCAGCTCCGGCAGTGACTCTCTTGGCCCAGGATGACAGCCTGTTTTCTGGCCACCACCCTCCCTCTATTTCCCTTCCTGATGGGCTGGGCCCGGGCCCAGGGCGGAACCAGCTGGTCATTTTCTCCATTTCTGATGGGTCGGACCTCTCCCAGGCTAAGCTCATCGTGCGCCTCTCCCGGCATTGCATGGGCTGCAGCTGAGCCCCGGGCAGCCTCCTCGCCGAGTCCCCGCTCCCCCCCACGCCTGGGCCACTGCTGGAGGGCCCCATCCCGTCTTAGGGCTCCACCCTGAGTCCACGGGCTTTTTCTGTCCTGCGGCCTTTGGTCCCAGGCCCGTGGTCCTTTAGCTCTACCAGCTCCTGTGCAGGGGAGGGTGGAGGCTGCCTGGCCCTGGGCTCCTGCCCTTCACTTGCCCAAACTTCCTCTCTGTGCACTGTCCTCCAGCCCCACCCTCTCTGGACCCTTCTCTAGAGGTCATCCTTCCCCCAGGTGGGTGGTGAGCTCCCTCTAGGTGCCACTTCCACTCTGTGGCCTCCTGCCCGCCCAGCATCAGCTCATCCAGGGGTCAGGCGGGATCTGCTGCAGGGACTGCCCAGCCCTCTTTTCACTGCTCTCAGCCGCAGCAGTGAATTCAGGGGAGAAACTGGATGAGAGGCGATGGGGATAAAGAAAAGACAGACAGGGGGGCTGGAGATGTGGCTCAGCGGTAGCGCGCTCTCCTGGCATGCGTGCGGCCCGGGTTCGATCCTCAGCACCACATACCAACAAAGATGTTGTGTCCGCCGAGAACTAAAAATAAAAAAATAAATATTAAAAATTCTCTCTCTCTCTCTCTCTCTCTCTCTCTCTCTCTCTCTCTCCTCTCTCACTCTCTCTTAAAAAAAAAAAAAAAAAAGAAAAGAAAAGACAGACACACAGAAAAAGCTGGGCCAGGTGGACAGCCAAGCTCTGATGGAGCTCCACTGACCCAAAGCTAGCTCAGCACGTTCATTATGGGGGTTTCATTAAAAGGATCTTCGTGGGAAAGTTTCAGCAAAACAGACAGCATGAAGGACTTGGGCCTGGCGAGACATTAGGGTCATCTTGTTATGCTCAGAATTCTCCATTCCCGGGAGTTGGTGACCGAGCTCAAGGTTCCTATTGATACAGCTGCATGCCTTCACACCTAGTCTCCTCTGGCCAGACATCACCATAGCAACGGGGCCACCTTGACCTGCACCTTTGCACAGGCAGTTCCCAGCGCAAAAGCAGCCATGAGGGAGTCAGACCATGATTCAAATCACCACTCTCCACCGGGACCCTGGGCAGCTCCCCGCCAGGGCTGGAGCCGAGGCCTGGCACCCTGGACCCTGAGCACCCATACCCAGGCACCCACAGGTGTTCACTGTGTCATTTAACATGAGCTGTGCCCAAATGGAGCACCCTGGGGGTTTTCAGGACCCTCTGTGAGCCAGCAAGAGCTCATTGGCTTTGTTTCCTGCTGCTCAGAGGATGGGCCTGGAGCTGCAGGCCCCGCTCTAGGAGACCATGTTTGTACAGGAAGATACGCTCGGTCTTCTCTGGTTTCGTTCCAGCTACAAATGCTTTAAAGTCAAACTCCGCCTTCTTCTCTATTTGTGGGATGAAGTGTTGCCCAGCTTTAGAACAGAAAATGAAGCCCATCATGCAATTATCATTTGTTCTGTTTTTATTTGGTCCTGGGGATTGAACCCAAAGGCCATTAACCACTGAGCCACATCTCCATCCCCTTTTTGATTTTTTAAATAAGTTGTTTAGGGCCTTGCTTAGTGGCTGAGGCTGGCCTCAAACTTGCAGTCCCCCTGTCTTTGCCAAGCCTCTGGGATGGCAGGCGTGTGCCACCACAYCTGGCCCCATTAAGATCTTTGTAAACAGGACAATGTCATTCTCCCTGTTTGTTCCCCAGGAGCAAGTTCAAGTTCTAGCTCAYGCTTGCTCCTGGTGCGGGTCCTGGTGTAGCTGCTGGGCTGTTGGCAGGAGCCAGCTGGGGACTGCAGTGTCCCCTACAGGCAGCCACTGGCTTCCCCTGCCTGCCATATGTGCCCCACAACACGTGTTTACGACCTTGATTTTCTTATATAAAACGCCATCAGGTTGTCCCAGCCAAAGTCTGAGTGCTCTTCCTGGGACTTCGAGTAGATCTTTTCAGACGGTGAATTTTTGAGGAGCGTGGGGTGTGAAGCTGCACTCCGAAGGGCTTTGCAGGTGGCCTGGCTGCTGTGCAGCCCTGTCATCAGCAGCCCCTTCTTAGGCACAGGGACAAGGATTCAGTCCCCTAGACACCATATACCTCCAACAGCCACGTCACCAGCCTCCTCATCGACAGCCCTGCTGCGTGGGGCAGGGCGGGGGGACACTACACATAAGAACGGCAGGAGGGTGGCCCGGCCTGCAGGGCTGTGGAGCCCCATCACAGGCTGGGAAGCCGGCCCAGCCCACGGGAGCTGATTCTGCAGGGGCGTCACCTTTAGGCCCTCGGCGACGTCAGGCTGCCGTGTAGGTGTGAGGTTCAAGAGCTTCCCCCTCCACCAAGACTCCTGTTCACTCAGACCCCAGAATGTGACCTTGAGAGAGGGTCTTTGACATGAGTTAGTTCACCCGTCATTTGCTCTAGCCCACAGGAAACCCCCAGGGTCAGCAGAGAGGATCCGGGGGTTCTCCTCCCCCCGCTGGCCCTGGATGACAGCTGGGAGCCTGTCATCCTGCCTGCAGGGCCCCCCAGCCTGGCCCACAGCACTGTGGTCACCTGCACTGTGCTGTCCACCTCTCCCAGCGCCAGGCTTCCACTTCCTCCCAGCCCCACTGTGTGGGCCGGCTGTGAGTGTCCCCAGATGGCTACTATTCTGTCCCTGCACCTGGTACAAGTCCACCAGCCGGGCGGGTCCCTTGGAGCCTTGGTGTCTGATTTCAGGGCCTTCTCAGTACTTCCCTCTCCCTCACTCTTAATCCATTGTTGGTTTCAGCCACCTGAATGCTGTCCCCTCTGTCACCCTGCCCCCATTCCTCCCAGTTCCTCTCCCAGAGCTGCAGCCTTCCTCCCGGCCCTGGAGTTGCTTCTCTGAAGGGATCACCTGATGGCCGGTCCTGTGCTTCCGGACTCCTCCTGGCTCCCGGGTTTCTCCAGGGGGTGGAGGCGGCTGGGGCTGGTGGCACCCAGGGAGCTCTCCAGGGCAGGGCTGGGGAGGAGACCCCTCCCTCCTGCTGGACACCCCTCCTCCTGTGGCCACAGACTCTGCAGGCCTGAGCCCCTGTAGCCTGCACTTCTGGGCTGATTTTCACTCTGGCTGGACCGGCTCTCTGGGCTGGTCAGGCCGCTGGGCACAGTGCCCAGGTGGGCCTCG